CAGGAATGGGAGCTTTAGATTTACAATGGGACCCCAGAGGTTCTTGTAAGACACTGAGGATAGAACCCCTTTTGTGAGCATAATGGAAAAACACTGTGCCATTCCCTGATTGCCAGCCTGAGGGAATGCTCTGCCTGTTAATTTGCCTTGTTACTATGTATCATTTTGGATCAGGAGTTTTCTCTTTGGACCACGCCATGAGATGGCAGTCTGAGTTTCCCCTTCCTTTTTTGCCATGCTAAAATAGGAGAGCAGGACTTTGTCTTGAATCCATGATATCCAGAACTGTGCCTAGCACATAGATATTCAGTGTATATTTGTTGAATGAATGCCTGAAAGGCAACCACATAGCCTTTTTGAAATTTTCCAGAAGTTTTCAGCTACTAGTAACAAAATGGAAACAGAGTGGATGACATTTTTAAGAGGTTTTCTTTTTTTTCCTGCTTTTCTGCTTAAGCTTTTCTAAGAAAAAGACTAATAGGAACATGTGATATTATTAGTGGGATCATGGGTTCAAAAAAAATAGAAATATGTGTGATTACCAGTCTCAGACTTATATTTTATCACAGTAGCTTGGGTTGGGGAAAGGAAATGGTATAAACCTAGTTTTTATTTTTACTGAAATGGGTGGGAAGCCATAGGTATTACTCTACTTGTCCCTCCTCTTTCACTCCTGTAAATAATGGTCTCTATTGAGCTTATTACTTCACTTCTGCAGAGCAGGGAATCTTAGGTGGGACTAAGAAAAAAGTATGAATTTTTGTGTCCATCAAGCCATCAATGGAACACTTCCCAGTTAGGACTTAATATAACTTGAGAAAATATAATTTTTTCTAGCTATGTTTTGAGTAGTTTTTCTTTCCTTAAAGAGTCAGTCAGTGCTTTCTATTAGGATTCTATATTTTCTTTTGTAGTACTAAGAACTTTACTGGGTTAGTAACTGTCTTAGCAGGTATATGCAGGATTTCCATGTTTCATTCAGAAATAATTCTAATACTACTGCATACTTCCCATCAGTCTCTTGAAATACAGGGCTGAATCTGATTTGCAAAATAAGGAGAAGGTAGCAGTGGTAGTCTGGATGATTTCCTTCTTTCAGGGAAGTGGACTGAAGAAGAAGAAAAGAGACTTGCAGAGGTGGTTCATGAATTGACGAGCACTGAGCCAGGTGACATAGTCACACAGGGTGTGTCTTGGGCAGCTGTGGCAGAGCGAGTGGGTACTCGCTCAGAAAAGCAGTGTCGTTCTAAATGGCTCAACTACCTGAACTGGAAACAGAGTGGAGGTACTGAGTGGACCAAGGAAGATGAAATCAATCTCATCCTCAGGTTTGTGTCCTAAATCTTTTAATAACAAAAGCTGCTTAATTGCTGTGGCTGTCTAGATTGGCTTTCCTCTTTTGGTTTCCATAGATGCCTAATGTCTGAAAAGCATCCTTTCCATAGAGAGCCACTGTTTAAAATCCTAAATATTTCATATTGAGCTCTTTTTTGTTTTGTTTTGTGTTTGTTCCTTTTTTAGTGGATTTAGTGCTCGTGTAAAGTACCAGATTGAAGGCGTGGAGACTGAAGTCCTCTCTATATCTGCAGAACAGGTATGGCACAGGCAGCGGCAGTGCAGCTTTTCCACTGTCCCACCAATGTGCCTCAGTCCTAGCCAAGAGGGACCATGTTGAGGGTAAGAGGGCTATCAGTCTCCATGCCCTTCAATCTTTGGCTACTATGCTAAGATTGCCCAGTCTACAGTTACCCCACACCTTCAAATTGGACCAAATTAGATACTTCCATTTCATACACATCCAAAAATAGCTTTAAGACAATCAATCCCAAGTTTATTTTTTACATTAGTTGGCTTAACCATTAAGACTCAGAAACTCAAATAAGCAAAAATACCAGCAAGAAAATATCTGAGACACTTAAGTAGTAGAAGCTGCTTTTGTGGCTACACCCTCTACTGAAAATCAAGATCGTGACAGTTAAAACTAGAAAACAAATAGACATTAAAACCCCAAATTTAGTTGTACTATTTTGTATTGATTGTGGTTTTTTGGGGTTGCTGCCTGAGTATTGTTTTTATCACTTTGTTTTGAGTTTTGTTTTTAATATAGTTTTTTCCAGCTAGTCATCTTTATAAATAGTTCCTTTCTAAGTAATTTTATTTTACAAATGGAAAAGCTCAGATCTAGAAAATAACTTATTATAACACACTATAAAACATTGTAGAACACTATACAACTAAACCTGTCCTTATCTTATTCTAACCTTTAGCTATTCCCTTTCCTTCATGGTGCTTCATCTAGTTCTGACCATTTACGGTACGGCCCATTGGTGGTACCATTAACAAGGCTGCTACTGTGATGTTTCATAGCTGTTAGCTGTGGAAGCAGGTCTGCATTCCTGCAATCCATCCTTTCCTATGTACCTGAACAGTAGCATCTCAGTGACACACCCTGCCATTCCCTTTATTGCCAGTGCGATCATCTGTAGTTAGAGGAGGGTTCTTATGGAAAAACAAACATCTAACAGATGCTTATTTTGTAACTTGTAGGATAGCAGAGCTTGATGTAGCTGATGAAAATGACATAAACTGGGATCTGTTAGCAGAGGGATGGAGCAGTGTCCGTTCACCACAGTGGCTTCGAAGTAAATGGTGGACCATCAAAAGGCAAATTGCAAACCATAAGGATGTTTCATTCCCTGGTAATGTATTATTTGCTTCTTAAGTCCTTCCTTTGTCTTACCGTATTTAGTCCTCAAGGAATTAGAGGTTAGAAGTTCTTTGCCTCAGCTGAAGAGATATGAATCACAGTAGGCTTTTACTTCAACCTCTGCCCTATGTCTTTGGGTAACTGTCTTCCCCTGAGAAGAGTTGATATGATTTATAATTCTCAAAGCACCAAAGGTAAACTATACACATCGGGCTTCCCTGGTGGCGCAGTGGTTGAGAGTCCGCCTGCCAATGCAGGGGACGCGGGTTCGTGCCCTGGTCCAGGAAGATCCCACATGCCACGGAGCGGCTGGGCCCGTGAGCCATGGCCACTGAGCCTGAGCGTCTGGAGCCTGTGCTCCGCAACAGGAGAGGCCACAACAGTGAGAGGCCCGCGTACCGCAAAAAAAAAAAAAAAAACTATACACATCTACACACATTCTTATCCTTTCACATAAACTATGAAGAGGAAATAAATTTTAAATGTATATTTTCACTGTATACAAAGATGTAAGAACTTACATTTAAATCAACTTTTACGAATTGAATAATTTCAAATAACTAGGTTAGAGAAATTCTGTGATTTATTTTGTAGAACAAAAGCAAATTTCTAATTTCATTTGTTATGTAAATCTAGAGATCTTAGGTTTGCTTAAGTGAGATATAGCATACTTTCCACTTCACTGTCTGCTTTGTTCTTAGACACGGAACTAAATTGTACAGTCTGTATGATTTAGGTAATCAGATTCCCTCCCATTGGTCTAGTGCTCCAACTTCCATTTTTGCAAAGGAAAATTAAATGCTGAGGAATTTGGCTTGATGAAAATGTGATTTTTTTTCTTTAAATACCCAGTTATAAATTTATTTTACACTTCAAAAATTACAAATTCTGGTATAACCAGGAGAGTGAATGAATACTAATGTAACATGAACCCAGCCAGATTGCAGCATTACCTGAGAGGATTGATGTAGTTTATCATGATTAGTAGAGGAGTTGGCTTTCCTGTACAATTCAAGGCGGTTGCATACTGTTTGGAAAAGCTCAGCTGCTACTCTGGAGTTGTAAGTTAGACTCACAGCCAACTGATTATGTTCTTGCAGTGGCTAAAAAGTGCCCAGGGTTGGGGGAGGGAGAGTAGTAGACTATTCATTGCTGAATGAAAATAAGTTAATTAGCATTACCAATATTCTCCCTAAATAATAAGAATTTTATCAAGAAGTCCTAGCATATAGAAAATGTCTTATTTCCATGTTCCTTACAATGGCTATTAATTCACCTTTGATGGCAAAAACAGTATCACGTTATGAATTTTTAAAATCTCTTTTGACGGATGTTTCCAAAAATTTCCAGACAGGTTGTAGTTTTTAAATATTTTTATTGTTATTTTGGTAAGATCACATATCCAGTATACAATTATTTATTCCAAATACTTTCCCTCCTTACCCCCCACCTCCCTTGCTGCTTAGATGGTGGTCTGTCGGAGAATCAATGTTCTTTTTGTCTACCCATCTCCCTTCAGTCTTGATAAAAGGTCTTAAACAGTTACATGAGAATCAAAAAAACAACCCAACGCTTTTGGAGAATAAATCAGGATCTGGAGTTCCAAACAGTAATTCCAGTTCCAGCGTACAGCATGTTCAGATCAGAGTTGCCCGCTTGGAAGACAATACAGCCATCTCTCCAAGCCCCATGACAGCCCTGCAGATTCCAGTCCAGATTACCCATGTCTGTAAGTAACCTCCAGACTCCATGCTATTTGAACTATATGATTTCGTTAATGGCTATGACACCTTTCAGTCTTCTAGAATGTTGACAGAAATTTATCCAAGTTGAGAAATTAAAGGAGATCTAAGGCATTTTTTGTTTATTAGTTTGATTAATATTTGCACAAAGGATGAATGTGTGACAGGAAAGAATGATAACCCACTGCCCAGCCATTATAAACCATTTTAAATCATCTTACTTTCTAGGTGTTATAAAGAATTAATGGTTAATAGAAAACTACCTAAAATACAGTCAACTAAGCAAAGAAAGAGAGTCCCTAGGATGGCACATCATTTGTAGTAATTCACCAGAAGACACACAAATGAAGAATGGACTTGAAGTCAAATGTAGAAGACATGGGTTTTGGTGAGGTTGAAAAACATTTTCTTCAGAGAGTAAAGAACCAGTGTCCTACGGGAACTGTTTTGTTTACCCCTGTCTTTTCCTTAGCCTGTGACATTTTTTTTGTGCTTAATGAGATGAGAGCCCAGTGATTGTTATAGGGAGAGGAAATTTATTTCCTAAGATCTAAGCCAAGTTGATCTTTCTACCTTTCCATTAGAGAGGCACAGAAAAGGAATGAGGATAAAATTCTCAGAACCATATTATTTTTCACTTTTACCTCACTTTTTTTCCCCTACATAACGTTATTTGCCTATGGAAAGGCCATTGCCAAGAGTTTATCAATCACTTGGTGTTATTCTCAATCAGGGGATTATTGGCATTTTAAGTGAGACAGTTCTTTCTTGGCAGGGATGTCCTCCTGCACACTGCGGGATGTTTAGGGTCCCCTGACCTCACCCACAAAATGCCAACTGTGCTTTCCAGTCAGTATGACAAATAAAAACAGCCTACAGATTTTCATATATACTCTATGATCCCATTTGAGAATCACTGGGCCACTTATTGGCATTATTAACACTGTATTTCTGGGAATTCCATGGCGGTCCAGTGGTGAGGACTCCATGATCTCACTGCCCAGGGCACGGGTTCAATCCCTGGTCAGGGAAATAAAATCCCACAAACTGCACAGCACAGCAAAAAACAAACAAAAAACAAACGGACAAAATAAACAAACCTATATTTCTGATGTTTAAATTAATTATGCTTGTCTTATTCTTAAAGTTCTAATTTAAATTTGGTTATTCGCTTTAGCTTTCTACCAGTGCAGTAAAGCATGAAGAATTTATTTTCTCTAGCCCTGCTTGTTTTGTTTTGTAATCTTGAGGATTGCAAAGCAACTGAAATTACTAGTCCACCATAAATGTGAGAGCTACTGTTGGCTAAAAATATTTTGTGCATGGAGAATGTTACAGTTTTCCTTGGCTATTGGGAAAATAGCAAACGTTTCATAAATGGTACCTTAATATCGTATAATTTAATTTCTTCCAGAAAGAAATGTGAGTATAGTAAGAGTTTTACAAGACACCCATTATTATTGTCATTTGGGCTAAAATCTCACGATTGTTTCTTCCTTTAGGTTAGAGGTCAGGGATTAGCAAACTTTAGGGCCAGAACAGTAAATATGAATATATTAGGCTTTGCAGGCCACATAGATCTCTATGGAATTTTCTATTTTGTTTTTAAACAATCCTTTAAAAATGTAAAAACCATTCTTAGCCTTGAGCCACATTTGTCTCCAGCCATAATCTGCTTACCTTTCATTTAGGTTATTTATCTGAAATCACTTCAAATTATTCTAGGTATGATCTTAAGAATCCATCAAATAGTAAGAGAACTAACATGAATTCAGTGCATTTCTTTTAAACTGAGAAGCATTATAGTCAGAATAAACTAACGTTATACATTAAAAGTCAATTTCAAATCATTTTTCACATAGATTTTACCTACAGGTGGGAATGAAAGCACCAAAAGAGATTACATTTCTTCTCATTAGCCCTAGTTCTGTATAACCTTGAGCAGACACTGATCAAGTCTGAGCCTCAGCTGACATATCTGTAAAGAGATTTATACTGTCTGATCTCTGAAGTGCTATTTAGTCTCCCTAGTACAGTCATCTGAAACTATATATATTTCATGTTTCTGATCCTCACAGCAACTATATGAGGTAGACAGGGCAGAAAGAGCCTCTGAACATTAGTTTGGGTTAAAGTAAGTTATTTGCCCGGGTTTACATTGCCAGAAGTGATGTCACTACAACTAAAGCCTACAGGACACCTATATATTCCAGACATCTATACTTCTTACCAGAACGTCCAGGAAAACTTATTTTATCAAGTTCCTGTCTCTTTGCAGGTTAGCCTTAGTGTATTCCTCTTACTTCCTAACATTAGAAATATTTTATGATCTATAGCAGGGGTTAGCAAATATTGTCTCTGTCATAGCTACTCAACTGCCCTCGTAATGCAAAAGCAACCGCAGAAAATACATTAACGAACAGGAATGACTGTGTTCCTATAACACTTGATTTATAAACACTGATAGTGGGCTGGATTTGGCTGTGGGTCATGGCTGGCTGACCCTTATATCTGTGCCATCCCAGACAAGTCCATTAGATTTCCTGTCTCTTGTAAGAAATTTAAATGACTTCGGGTTTCCAGGCAAATTATTCAACATGAGATTGCCCTCATAATTAATTGAGTACACTAAGAACATTTAAATTTACAAAGTGTTTATTGTCCTTGTTCTTACCACAGCTTCAGCAGACTCCCCGGCTGCTACTGTTGACTCGGAAACAATAACACTAAACAGTGGAACGCTACAGACCTTTGAGATTCTTCCAGTGAGTAACTACTTTAAAAGCAGATATTGGCCATTTTATGCATAAGAAAGATCAGTTGGTATCAGTTTTAGAAATGTTATATAAGCAAATGAAATGTAAAAATTAACCTGATTGTCATTAAGTGTAACTATATCCATGACTTTGAAAGCCAAGATGGTTAGAAGACAACATAAATCAGACTTCCACTTTTATAATTCGTCTTTTTTTTCATCTGTATATAAACCAATAATATGTTCTTTTTAGAGATGAAAATGACAGTGCTAACAAGTAGGGTACATGCTATGTACTTTTATTGAGTCATAAACAAATATATACTCAAAAAGTTCATATTCATTATTTGAGAAAATGTTTATGGAATGAATTATTTAACAACAGTCAGTAAACACTACTAGCGCATTGGGGGATACAGGATTTAAAAGTCCTAGTCATAAATGATACAGCCACTTAGGCAAAGAATCTTGCAATCCCTAAAAAGGTTAAACATATAGTAATCATATGACCTACCAATTCTAATCCCAGGTATACCTAAGAGAAGTGAAAATATATGTCCACATAAAAACTTGTACATGAATGTTCATAATAACTAAAAAGCAGAAACAACTCATATGTCCATCCGCTGATAAATGGGTAAATAAAATGTGCTGCAGCCATACAAATGATTATTTGACAGTAAAAAATTATGCTACCACGAGGATGAACCTTGAAAATATTATGCTAAGTGAAAGAAATGAGACATAAAATATATAGTGTACGACTCCCATTATCTGAAACGTCAAAAATAGACAAATCTGTAGAGACAGAAAACAGATTAGGGGTTAACTATGCTAAGAGGTTTTGGGGAGAGTTGGGGCATGACTGCTAATTTAAATGTAATTCCTTGGAGGGGTGGTGATGATGAAAAGAAAAATGCCCCAGTTCTTTCCCTTTTTCTAAAATAGGTAAACCCAGAATTATTAGCTCATTTTTCATGAAGAATATATAAAGTATATTTTATTTAAATTATGTCAAGATTTATGTGCTGTGAAGAACATAAGGGGTATTAGTGCAACAGTTTATTTATCCTATCCACAGCGAAACCTCATAGGAATGGCCCACCTAGCAAAAGGTTCTTTTGTTGTTGTTGTACGCGGGCCTCTCACTGTTGTGGCCTCTCCCGTTGCGGAGCACAGGCTCTGGACACGCAGGCTCAGCGGCCATGGCTCATGGGCCCAGCCGCTCCGCGGCACGCGGGATCCTCCCGGACCAGGGAACAAACCCGTGTCCCCTGCATCGGCAGGTGGACTCTCAACCACTGCGCCACCAGGGAAGCCCCAAAAGGTTCTCTTTTGGATCTCCTACTAGGCCACTTGCTTAACTTAAGCCTCGGTTTCCTAATCCATTTGTCTCCAAAATAGGGATGTGTAAGAAGACCACTTGCCATAGGTAGAAAACAACTTCGCTTTACATTTTCTGCCACCTCACCCTCCCTTTCCCCCGGCCTAATAAACAATATATACACATATATTTAGGGTATGTGTTCAGGTTTTAACTTACAGGGTCACAATCAAATATTTAGAGACTCTTATTTATAAATAAAACATGATAATAGTGCCTCAGCTTCAAAAAATTATGAGCCTTAAATGTATTTAAGCATATTAAATAAAATACATGTATATGATGTACATGTATTTATTATACTGCCTGATCATATGTGATTAATAAATACAACCTTTAGGAAAACAGCTAGCTTTCACTTTTATAGAGAGGGAGGGGAAAAAGTGAGTTGAGTCCCCAGTGTGTGCCAGGCACCATCACAATCATTTCTAATCCTCAACAAACCTTTCTATGAGAAGTAGCTACGATATCTGCTTTAGCATTACAGAAACCTAGATTCAGTGGGTCAGTCAGTAGCCAGGAGAGCTGTTGTGGCCTAAGTCCACAAGACCACATCAGACTAAAGAACCCAGCCTATATGACTTTAACTTCCAGCTCTATTCTAAGTGCAAAAACTTTTCCTTCAGAGTGTTAGGATAAACCAAACTCAGATTATCACGTAGAAGCTTATGGTTGTGAAACGTGTGTTGTTGTTCAGTAGTTTTGTTACACTTTCATAAAAGATCTCAAAAGATAAACGTACTGTCAGTGAAACAGCTTTTCAATTAGAAGTTTTTTCTTTCAACAAACACTAATTGCCATTTCTATACATTTTCTCTGAACATAAAAAAAATTTCCTAAAATTATACTATGAAAAAAATCTATTCAAGTAAGTAAACACTGCCATAGTGCCTTTTGGAAAATGTGAAGCTTTTTTAACTGGGAGACTGCTAGTTTTTATGTGCTACACAGAAGGGATAAAGAGGGGAGACGAGGCATGCTGGATTACTGTGCTAGAAACAGTGGCTTATGAGGCCATGTCTTGGACTGAAACAGATAGCTGAGACCAGACCATAGACATACAGGGAGTGAAGAGTAGGATCAGGCCTTTCCTCTGTTAAAGCTGCAGGCCAAGAAATGACTTACAACAGATAAACGGTCCAGAATATTATACCCTTCATTTTATTATTTGCCCCTCCCTGATTGGTAAGTACATTTGTGGCTAGTAAATTAAAGTCCCCGTTTTGGATGTAAAGCTAGACTTAATGGGTACTAAGTGTACTTACTTAGTGGTTTGATGCACCTGTGTTGATCTTATTTTTCTTCTTCCTTCAGTCTTTCCATTTACAGCCCACTGGCACTCCAGGCACCTACCTACTTCAAACAAGCTCAAGCCAAGGTCTTCCGCTAACTCTGACTGCTAGTCCCACAGTAACCCTGGCGGCTGCTGCTCCCGCTTCTCCTGAACAGATCATCGTCCATGCTTTATCTGTATGTCACCTTACATAAATTCCTTGATTTTTCTAGTTTCTGTAGAAAAGACTCGCTAACTGATAAGTACCACCAGAGATGGACTCATGTGCCTTCAATTACAATATCTTGGGGGAGGGGGAAATAAATTTTGAGCTCCGTTCAAACACTTTAGTATCAATACCTGTTAGGGACCAGGATTAGTTGATACAAAATATAAGAGCCAATACTAATGTAGTCCATTTATTTAAACAATTCTTCCTACCACTGTTGTCCCAGGAGTAATGTTTTCCACCTTCACTGGGGTACATCCCTCGTTCCCTGGGTCTCCTTACATGACATGGACTTCCGTTAGGGGAAAAGGGATATTACGAGAGCAGAGGCCCCACTGTGTAAAGAATAGGGGTTCTAGAAAAACAGTGATAAGAACACTGAAGTTCCAGAGGTCAGAAAGAGGCATGGAGGGGACAATAGGGTACCACTTATAAATATAATTTGTTGTCTATAACTTTAGTCTGGTGGGTACTTTTTCATTTTGCCACTGATCGTTTTAACATTTTATAGCCAGAACATTTGTTGAACACAAGTGATAACGTCACAGTGCAGTGTCACACACCAAGAGTCATCATTCAGACAGTTGCCACAGAAGACATCACCTCTTCCATATCGCAAGCAGAACTGACAGTGGATAGTGATATTCACTCATCTGATTTTCCTGAGCCTCCAGATGCCCTAGAAGCAGACACTTTCCCAGATGAAATTCATCAGCCTAAGATTACTGTAGAGCCATCGTTTAATGATGCTCATATATCCAGATTCAGTGACCAAAATAGCACAGAACTGATGAACAGTGTTATGGTCAGAACAGAAGAAGAAATCTCTGATGCCCACCTTAAACAAGAGGACGCACCCTCCCCTTTAGCCCGGGCTTATGTTACTGAGGTAAGTTGCACTTAAGGAAACAGCCTTAAGCCTCAAACCTGCAGTTTGGGAAAAGCCTAGAAATCATTTATGAAAAGATGTCCTCAGTACCTCCTATTTTCTTTAGACACACAAAATAAAGCACAGACCCCTACCTGACCTGAAGTATCATTCAACAAGCAGTGTTGCTCTTACCACAATTCCTCACTAAGACCTTTCCTTCTCCATCCGCTGTAGACTGAGAAATGTTTGTTGGAACCCATGGAAGCATTTTCCTCAGGATGGTTTGTAACAGGTCTTTGTGGTTCAGTTTAGGAACCTCATCCCACAGTTACAGCATTGTTTCTTCTATATTCAGGGTCTATAACTGAATTGGTTCTTTAAAATTATTTTTTGCTAGTATGTAATACATTGGAGTATGAGGTTATTACTTTTGTCCATTTTAAGACCTTAACTTTGATTTCTTTTAATTTTAACTTTAAAGTAGGATAATATTTGAAAGTTAAGTCCCTTCAAGCCTAAATGTGTTTGGGGACTTAAGGAAAACTAATAAGGAATATGAGACAGAATCTCATTTTTTTAATTATTATTACTTAGGATTTAGGGTCTCCTACCATAGAAGAACAAGCTGATCAAACAACAATTGATGATGAAACGATACTTATCGTTCCTTCACCACATGGCTTTATCCAGACATCTGATGTTATAGATACTGAATCTGTCTTGCCTTTGACAACACTAACAGGTACTGTAACTCCTTCGAGTGCCTGATAAATCTTAAGGTGGAAATCTTCTTGTTAAATTTTCACTTTGGTAGAAGAACACTTACTCTAAATTCTTGACATGGATTAGAGGATATATACATTTAAGATTAACTTGAAACTTATCTCATTACAGATCCCATATTCCAACATCATCGAGAAGAATCAAACATCATTGGATCATCTCTGGGCAGTCCTGTTTCAGAAGACTCAAAAGATGTTGAGGATTTGGTAAACTGTCATTAGGTAATTCTTAGAAACAGGTAGTTCAGGCAAAGAAGCCACACTTAATTACAACATCTCCAAAGAAATAGGAGCAACCCCCAAGAGGCTTAATTTACCATTCCTCTGGCTTTTAAATAGCTACAGTGCCCAAGCCACATACAGTGTTGCTGCTATGACTTTTTACCTCCTTTAAATATATCATCTGAGGTCTAGTCTTATGACAGTGTAGCTGAGTGGAGCGCTGGGGTCTCTCTTAACTGTAGAGATCCTAGTGATTAGTGTTACTTGTCAGCAGGGAATTTCATTCACTTTAGCTGAGAGAAGTTTAAAATCACCAAAGCTTAACTACTGTTTTAAAAGCAGTAATATTCATCTCTAAAGATCAGACATGGCACTCTATGCAGTCTCAAATAGGCCTGTTTATATTTCAGAGAAGTTACATCACCATGGTCTAGAGCTTACCAGTGACCTTCTCCACAGAGCTTATCTTCTAAGTAGTCTGAGACTTGGGGTGTGGTGGTTACTTTTGGTTTACCCATTGCTGGCAGTGGGAGCTGATTTAGGCCGGGTGAAGAGGAAAGCATTAAGAGAATTAAGAAAATTCACTACAGGCTTGTTTGTTTTAATATGGATGAGAGTAGGAAGACAAAATTCATGAGAAGCTAAGAGTTTTCACCCCCTCAGAACCCACTGTCATCAGTTTACAGAGTTAGCACTTTGAAGTAAAACTAAATGGGAAAGGAAGTAAAGTTGCCTATCCTATGCCATGACTTTTATTACATGTCTTGCTATGTAAGTTACCCAGGAAATAGTTGAGGAGAGGATCAGAGTTTGCCGTTCACTTAGTGCATTAACTGATGGGGGTTTGATATAACGTCTCCCTCTCAGGCAATTTAAAAAAACAAAATTTGCTTCTGTAATGAAAGGAAACAAATCAAGAGTCATTCCTATACCAGAGAAGGTTAAGCCAAAATTAGCCTCTAGGGCTTTAATGAATATGACCCCTATAGAAAAGTCAAAAAAAAAACCTGTATAAATTATTTTATTTATTATTGTAATTAGATTTACACAATCAAAGTTGTCTTTTCACCGTCTTGTGTTTTTTGTTAACGTGAAATTGTAGTTATAAGCAAAAGTTGGTTGCCTAGGGAACAATAATTGTATATTCAGTTTAACAGAAATAAAAGAGTATTTGTCTTAAAATGCAAGATTGTTTGTTATATAGCCTTTCGCCATGCAATTCCATTATAAAAAATTTTAATTTAAAAGTGAAAATGACTTGTGCTGTTTGAGCTTTAAGGGGGAATGTTTAAGTGCAACATCAGCTCCTTAAAGAAAAAGCAAAGTGATCTAGGATATGTCTCCCCTGCAAGAGGGAATTTAGATTTACAATTAACATGAAAATCATGTATCAGACTTATGCAGGAGATTGATTGTTCAGCATACCTTACCCAGTTCTTATTCAAGTCCAAATATAGCTTTGAAGAGACCTGGTAAGTATTTCTCCTTGGCAGACTCACTTTCCCACATCATGGAAGTACAAATTCGCACATATACATAACATGATGATAGAAAATAAGATATAGTAAATTAGGTTTCTAAATTTCGGTTCTAAGTCTCCTTGTCGATACCAGTAGATCTAAAAGAAGAAGAATCAAATAAAAGTTTAAGTAATAGCACTGGGCTGAATATTAAAAATTTAAAATACAACTAATTCTTTTCCACTGTGACCAATTTCATCCATATATACTTTTTCCCCCTGAATTTTGAGACTAATGCAGCCAGAATTTTATTCTTATTCTTTATAATTCCAGTGATACCAACTGAGTTTCCATATCCAAGACCATACTTTATTCTTGCATTCTCAGTTAACTTTGTTCAATGTTTAAACCAAGAGTCCACAGTCACTTGGCAGGTCATCCAAGAACAGATATTTTAAATATATTTGAGTAAAACGTACAGCTCTTTTAGGTACTGGAAGGGAGGACAACTTTTTAATTCCTTTAACTTATTCAAACTGCCAACAAAACTAGGGCTTTACACGTGCATATATTTGGTTTCAACTAGATCACTGTCAGTCACTTCTGGCTTTCGGCTGGGAGTGAGAGGAGAGCATCTCTGGTAGCTTTTTTCCCAAGGCTCTCAAAGTGGGATGGGCCAATTCTTCCCTCAGGTCATAGGAATATAGCAGAATCAGTGAGTTTGAATCTGGGAAATGCCCTCCGGTTTACCTTTAACTCAGATAAGCCCATTATATTTAAACCTTATGTGAGTCAGAACAATTATGTTTAAGAGTTTACTGCTTTAATTCTGCCTCTCCTCAAGGGAAATGAAAACAACAGCCAGCTAATGAAATGACCGAACACTTGGCAAATACCCAACTGGGAGTCCACCACCATCTTTATTTCTTTACCTAAAAGAAAGGCTTCTTCGTAGTAAAATTGAACATTCTTGTGAAAAAGGTACAACTGCAGCTTTAGGTTTCCAGAGATTTTGGTGTTAATTACTTTCATTTGGGGAGATAAAGCTCAAAGATTAAAACAAACTAGTTTTGTAATTATTAGAAACAGAGGAGTAAATGGCATTTCCCAAAGCCTGTTGGGCTTTGTATGTAGTTCTTGAAGGAAGATGAATTAAATACATCACATCAAATCTTTGGCGACCTAAGTCCTTTTTTTTTTTGTTTGCTGTCAAGGGAGCGGAGTTTCATTTTAGGGTTACAAGGTTACAACTCTGGGATTTAGGAGCAAAGTAAACTCAGATTCAAAAATAACCCTGCAATTTAACGTTGAGAATTGTGACATGCTTTGGGGGAGAGGGGTGGCATATAATTAGAGACACCCTTTTATACAGATAGTCTACCAGAGCTGGGAGTTCTGCCCTAGGCACCTTCAGCCCTCAAAGATACTGAATTTAAATTCTAAATAGTACTCACAAGTATGCAGGCAGTAATACTACTCAAAGAGATGCAGACAGCAAAAAATATATTCAGCGGTTTTGGAGGTAGTTGAGGGAAAACAAAAGCACTGATCAGTGTTACCTGTATGAAGAGAAATTATGTCAGGCCTCAGGAGTAATTCCAAGACTTGGTTAGACTGGCATTTAGGCAATGTAATAGTATAAAATGCTTCACATTGTAAAATGATATCTACCACCACGTTCGCCTTCTGGAATGTTAATATTTAATAAAATATTAAAATACCTTCAACTGTGTTATTTCTTTTAGTACTACTTAATCTTCCTAACCTTTTCCTCCTTTATGAGAGGAGACAAACCACCACAGAACAGTAAAACTAGCCAACCTCAAAATAACCTCTTCATCAAAGATTAGATAGCATTTAAACCTCATCCCCAGGATTAACGACTATACTTGAAAAGTTCTAAACTTTTTGTTATTTTGAATACTCCAGCAAAAAAAATAACCAAAACTGTTTTTGCTTAACATGAAAAACTCTAAAAAGAAGGTTTCTAATATCCTATAGTTCTCTTTCTACCTTAGAGATATATATATATGTAACATTTTACCCATTCTTTTTATTAAGAAGTCATGGAAACAAACTTCACTAAAATTCTCTTATATTTAATGAAAATGTGCCAAAGAAATGTCATTCTCAGACTGGGAAATGTAGCTTTGTTTTATTTTATTGTGATAGCACCAAGCTGTAGTATACAGGATGAAAAATTAAAATCTTTTAAAACCAAAGGATAATGAACATGCTTCAAGAACAAAATAAAAGTAAAGGCATTAGCAGAAATGGGGAAGTTGTGGGTTATGTACAGAAGAGAGGTACTGGTAGCCACTGACATAGTACAGATTTACTAGGCAAACCCAGAAAACCAAGTTATTTGATTTGTGCTATTTCACCTTCAGCCAGGGGGAGAGAGTGGAAATCAATTAGCTACTCCACTTACCAAGTGCAGTTTTGTTTAAGTGTCAACAAAATTGAAAGCATTACTTTACCTATGATTGGAATATTTCACATGCTCATGTACTGGCCCCTTCTAATTTTTTTTTTGTTTTTTTGGAGAGCTGATTGAACCACAAAATTAAGGTTTTCAAAACTTTGGCTAAGAGCCTGGGTGAGACACAAAGATACTTACTAGAATCAACAAGGATGTTAAGCTGCCAACAACTAAATTGATGATTCGATCCTGAAAGAGAAAAGAGTTTTTGAGCCATATGATAAACCCATGGCACTTTAGAAAGATACAATGCAAGGCATTATGGTGTTTTAGAATGGAGGAACCAGGATCCTGCCCCTCTGAGCTTCACACAAACAACTGCCAGAAGGGCAGAGTGTACTGAGCCACCAGAGTAGAGAAGGTATTTGGGGAAGATGGACAACTAACTGGAGAAGTCTTCTGGTTTTTATTTGGCTGCGCCAGGTCTCTTAGTTGTGGCATACAGCACGTGGGATCTTTTAAATGCGGCACACGGGCTCTCTTTGTTGCAGCATGTGGGACTAGTTCCCTGACCGGAGATCGAACCTGGGGCCCCCTACATTGGGGGCATGGAGTCTTAACCATGGACCACTAGGGAAGTCCCTGGAGAAGGTTTCTTGAAGGGACAGGACATTTTTATATTAGGGCCTTTTGAAGACTGGGAAGGCCTGGATGGGGAAGGGAGGCTTACAAATAATCCACAAGCTGCTGGGAACAGTATGAGCAGAAGCAAAGGGACAGGAGCACGGGACGGCCAACCGAGAGCCTTGGTGAGAACAGTAAGAAACCAGGCTTAGATGATGTCAAGTGCCATCATGAGCTTGGACCTATTTGTGATACATCTTAAGTGTCCTTGCTTAATGTAATCTAAAAGTAAATGCAACATAGAATCATCTGAATGAGAAGCCTGGGGTTCTACCCATCGAGATTTCTTGTTACTCCCATCCCTACCCCAACCAACTCCAAAGAATGGTTTGAAAAACTGATCTGATCCAATCCTGATTTTACAGGTTAAGGTAAATTTAGGTCCAGTGAGTGTTGTTAAATTATTTGCCTAAAATCATACAGCAAGTTAGAAGCAACTCTGAAATAGGATATCTAAATCAGGGTCACTGGCTAGATGGTTTCAGTTACAGGAACTAAAAGTTAAAGTATCAGTAATATATAAATATTAGTAGTATATACTGATATTATATGTATAATGTGTATTAGGTTGATAGAACTTATTTACGGAGCTTACAGAATAAGGTGGTAAGGGTTTAAGACCTGATGAGGAAACACTACTTTATGGCCAATGAGAATATCAGGTAATCTTAGTTCTGAAAAGTCAAAGCTGAAGTCTTTAAAGAATCCATCTTCAAGACTGTTTTGGCAACGTCTGAGCAAAGAACAGCAGGATATAGAATGTGAGCAGTCAGAAAACAAAAGCTCAGAGACGGGAAGGGCACAGGAACCTGCATTTCCAAGTTATCTGCTTCTAAAGATAAGAATCCAAAGAAGAGCCAGGCAGGCAAAGCTGGGAGGGAAGAGTGAAGCAAAGCCAAGTATATCTGGTGTCTCTGACCTCACCAGGGATAAACCACACTCCAGACCAAGGCCACTGCAATTCAAATGTTACACAGGACAAAGGAAGCTGAACTACTCCAGCCACACCCTTACTAAACTTGAGGGCTCAGAACAGGTCTTATCACCACATCAGCTAGATAAGACAACACAGCAGACACAAGAGTCTGAAACTGGGACCATTTGTTAGGCAAGAGACCCAGGGACAAATCACTGATCACTGTTAACGTATTCCCACACAAGACAAATGTGTACTTAACATAAAATGTGTTAACAGACAATCCATTTATGAGAACCCCATTGTTTCTGCCTTGTGAAAAAGTTTCAACTCAACTCTTCTGGTCTATTCTAAGAAGTCAAGAGTATTTGCTCCCATCTCCTTATGAACTCCAGGTATTGGCAACAGTCTGTAAAGGTGTGCGCATACCTCACAAGAGCTCTTACCAATAGAAAGAGGCCAGTGAAGAGGTTCAGGTGAGAGGTAGCCAACATGAATCACTATTCTCCAAATGGTACAGCAAGTCTGCCAAGCAGGATCGAAATGGGGAGGGGAGAGGAGTATAATGGTGAACAGATGGTGCCTACGCCAAAAGCTTTTGTATATCTTCTAAAAAATCCTGGGGTGAAATGATACTATGACTATTTTACAGGTGGCCACACAGGCTCCGGGAAATAGCTTGCCCAAAATCTCAATGCCAATAAGTGATGGAAACAGGATTCAATGCAACAGCAGATTCCATTTATACTTCTCAGTGAAACAGCAGCCTAGCATGCTAACTGCTGGTCTAGACAGAGATCAAGTTGCAAAGAGCACCCCTATTAGCAAAGTACTACAGTAAATTGTTTACCTTTCAGGAATGAAGACTTCCTCGTAAGTGGCTGTTTTAGATCGCTGAACTTATCCAAGGAAGGCTAACTGGTTTCAATCATTTATGAAAATATATCTAATCTTTAAAGAATACTTCGCTGCTTGCCTTCTAGACAGTCCACTGTCTAGAATCCCAAATCATCTTCATGAATATCAGGTATTCTATTGTTAGGATACAGTCTCTCTGGGACTCCCAAGATGGGACAAACTATTTAGAAGACGGCAGAACTGTTTCTCACAGGGTCTCCTTTCTCCAAGCCAAGGCCTTGGCTTTAGGCCTTCTGCTATTGAAGTAACCAGGAATCCAGACCAAAGAAATAGCAGAGCTAACTCTGGAAAACCTCCTACTTCCTTCTAAACTCTTGCTACGCAGAGTGGTCTGTGGCCCCGCAGCACCGGCACCACATGAGAGCCTGTAAAAAATGCAGAACCTTGGGCCTTGCCCCACATCTACTGAATCAGAATCTACATTTTAACAAGAGCCTCACATGATCTGTGTGCACATTTAAATTTGTGAAGCACTGCTCTAAGGTTTAGAGTCTAAGCTAAACCATTTTGAATACTGCTAGGTTCAAATCACAGAGTGGAGACCCCTCTCCAGGCCCAGAGCTCATTCTTCAGGGCTTTAGCAGCTCCCCCTGCTTCCAGTCTCCAAAGGTAGAATAATAGAGAATAATTAAATCACCCGTTAATTACCATTTCAAAGGGCAGTGTTAGAGCTAATATGCTCCAAGTCAGAACCAGAGTTATCTCCATATCAGAAGCTAGTTTATATTAACTCAGTTACTCTATGTCTCACAAAAACTAGCTGTCTCCTCCCCAGTTTTATTATTGCCCTATTTCCATCTAACAAAACCATTCTCCCTACCAGAGCTTTACACTTTGTACTGCTGCTTATTTTCACTCCCCAAGGAAGTCCAGCAGGACCAGAATCAGCCTTAATCTTTTTTTTTTTTTTTTGCGGTATGCGGGCCTCTCACTGTTGTGGCCTCTCCCGTTGAGGAGCACAGGCTCCGGACGCACAGGCTCAGCGGCCATGGCTCACGGGCCCAGCCGCTCTACGGCATGTGGGATCTTCCTGGACCAGGGCACGAACCCGTGTCCCCTGCATCGGCAGGCAGACTCTCAACCACTGCGCCACCAGGGAAGCCCCAGCCTTAATCTTCACCCGCAGAGATGACAGGACAGGGAATTCGTTGTCTTCCCACAGACATCTACTCAGCAACAGGCTGAGAGACAGTCTTACCTCATGTACATGGATTTATGTATGTGAACACTTGAACATTAACAACATACATACACAAACATATATAGTTTCGAGAGGGACTCAGCATATATTACCTCTTAAGGCATTTATTTATTCACTTAAACATTATCTCATTTATCTCAATAAAGCTGAAAAAACAATTATCTACTATATCCCAGGTGCAAATACAACCGCAAATAAAACCATCTCTACCCTCCAGAAGTTCACACAACACAGAGAGCAAGCGGGCACGAAGGAGAAAGGAGAGGTATCTTGGGCAATCAGGGAGAGATGATCAGAGAAAAGTCAAACCTGGAGGAGGACGACTAGCAGGTGAGCAAGGAGGAAAGAAAAGGGGGCTCAGAATGAAGCGACTCCACAAAGACCCCGGGGAGAAAAAACTTCAAGAAGCTGCAAGGATAGCCAGTGGGAAGCAGCCGCACGGCACAGGGAGATCAGCTCGGTGCTCTGTGACCACCTAGAGGGGTGGGATAGGGAGGGTGGGAGGGAGGGAGATGCAAGAGGGAGGGGAGATGGGGATATGTGTATACGTATAACTGATTCACTTTGTTATAAAGCAGAAACTAACACACCACCGTAAAGCAATTATACTCCAATAAAGATGTAAAAAAATGAAGCTGCGAGGGAAAGGGCTGGGATGCGATGCACAGGTGGAGAGAGCAGCCTGAGCCCAATAGAGGCGAGTCTGTCTTCCTTTGAAATGGGGAAGGAGAAAAAGATGGTTGTGCCTACAATGTGTCTGTACCTGGGATGAGAGAAGGTTAACTCTGTGAAGCAGTAAGGAATACGTTATCTCCATTTACCAATGAGTAACTAGGTTCAGTCAGACTGATTTGCCCAAGGTCATACAGCCAGATAAAGTCTCCTATTCAATACTCTTTGCAAACCGCAAGCCAAGTGAGCAGTTCAAAGGGTCTAAGAATCCTTAGACTAATACATATGGGCCCTGAAATGAGAGTTAAGAGACCAAGGTTCTCATCTCACTGACTAGCTAGGTGACTTCAAAAGGATCCCTTAACCCATCTGGATCTATCAAATGAGAGGACTGGGCTGATATCTGGTCCTTTCCAGTTTTAACAATTTATGGTTCTGGATCATCAGCTTCAGGCTGCACCTGGGCCACAGTAGAAGGCCTATTCCCCGGCAATCAAAAGGCACAGGAGCCCCCCCAGATTGCTTGGTCAGCCATTAACCAGCATCCTGATACAAAACAAATCTCCAAATTCATTTCAAATGCTCCGGTGGTTAATGGTGGTTCTGGGAACATCCCAAATAACCAAAAGCTGGCATTTGTCCTCAGGAACCAGGAAAAATCCTGGCTCTGGACAGCTTGGAACACTAATAAGTAAAATCATGCTTCCATTTCCACAGTAATTTATTTTGCCTGCTTCCAAAATGGATCTAAAGCTTGGGCTATCACAGCAAAACCCTAACCCATTCAAGCAACAGTAAAAAGAGCATGGCAGGGCTTCCCTGGTGGCGCAGTGGTTGAGAGCCCGCCTGCTGATGCAG